TAGAAGAATAAAACGTCTGATAAAAATGTAGAAAATGAGGGGGAAAAAGCAAAATGGGGGGAATGGAAAGGAGTCAAGAGAATCAAGAATTCTGGCAAGGTGAGGACTGAGTGAGGAGATTAAAACTGGCTGGGAATTGGGAAGGGTGCCTGGCACTGGTTACACAAGAAGAACAGGAACGTGAACCAGTTTGCTAGGGAGGATTGAAAATGGAGGTAAAAAGGAAGGAGAAAAGGTTTCTATACAAGGAAACTGAAACTAGGACCCTGTGAAGAAAACACAGAAGATAAGGAGCTGGGGCGTAAAGGGAGAACTGTATCATTAAGAAGCATTTGCAAAAGTTAGAAGTCGTTGTGATGTGCAGCAGCTTGTGTAATGCAATGCTGGACACCTGAGTGAAGCGCCCTTTCATCAGACTCCTTGGCTTTGACTTCTGACCAGCGGACAGTGAGCCACAGGGTATATAAGTGAAAAAACTCCTTGCAGCACAGTGTAGCCTTGCAGCAACATCCCTCCTAAGATCCTCCAGGTTCTTCTAATAAATTGGGTGCAATTCTGACTAATTTATTCTTCTTTGTGAAATGTATTTTATTCATCCATTGCTGGTTCCAGAATTCCTCAGCCTTCCTTTCTGAGAGGCGTTCCATGACTGAAGCAGACTTTTCTAGTCCATCACTGTATAACCTTTACAGCATGTTTACTGTATGTCTTTCTCTCCTCAAGTTAACAAGCAGCTGATCTTATTCTACATATCCATTTACTTTCTGGTGTTTCACAATACAATAATAAAAGAGATGGCAAGGAATGAAAGTGCGGGTTCCCTGGTCTCTCAGTCTACACCACAGCCAGCTGGGGGTTGGCCCACTGTAGCTGAAGGGAGGCAGACTGACACCGGATGCCACTGGGATTAGGAAGGGTTTTGGTAGGCTTGGTGAAGAGTCAGGTGTGGAAAACTGGAAGTGGTTGGACAAAGGGTTGGAATCACGTGCAAATGAGATACTGCTTCTTAGAGGAGCCCGTGACTCAGACAGCATGCAGACCTGGGCAGAAAGACCAAGCCTGGAGTTCAGGAGTGGAAATAGGAATGCAAGAAAACTAAGAGTGGGAGAAACTGCTGGGACTGGGAAAAATGAGGGCAGTCCCAGTTGGGAGGGGGTACGCAGAATCAAACATAAAGAAATGAACAGCATGTTTCAGTTGGGAGGGGGTACACAGAATCATTCAAACATAAAGAAATGAACAGCATGTTTTTCTTTAGCCATTACAGTGCAATCCCCTTCAGATCCTGGAGTAAAGCGCGCAGACCCCTGGGTTAGGCATACTGAGAGCCTAGAAATCCGTGGCTGTGATCGATGTGCGGCTAGACTGTAATAAGCTATGACCATCTACTTAAAGATGATCTCGCAATGGATCTGCAAAATGGTATTAAACTAATTAATTTAGGCTGCTCTTAATCCTGGCATTTCCTAACTTTGGTATGCTTGACCTTGCCACATTAATAATGCTCTTTGAAGTACCCTAGAGACTACACACATATACTATAAATGTATATAGCATCAGTCTCAAATAGTTATTCTGTATTTGTTTTAAAACGAAGTTCAAATATCCTTTGATTTTAAATATGGATTTGGCTTCTATGAACCTTCAATTTTTTCCTCTTTTACACAATTTCTGAACTGTAAAAGTGCACTATAAAGTAGATTGCCAGCCGTAATTATGATTTATAGAATAGTCCCAGGTGTCTGCACATTAATTATGACTTATTAATAATATATGCATTAATTGATCATTCATTTTATAATTACTTTGCAAGGATCTAGTCCATCAGTGCTAGCTTTGAACAAAAGCACACAAAACCCAGAAATCTACTAGAATGGTTTTCAGTGTACGTTGCCGATCCTGGACGCAAGCTATGTCTTATTCATTCGCATTCCTTCTCTGTCACAGAAAGTAGCCTCACAAAGTGACCTTAGTCTAGGAGCTAAGGCTTTAAGAAAAATAAAGTATTTTGAGACTTGTGATTAAACCAGGGAAAGTGGCAAGATTGTGGATGCTACAGGTGGTTCCATATGGCTGAATTTGATTCTGCAATAATCTGTGAATTCCCCTTATTGTTTGAATCACTTATCATTTGCTTGGGTTTACTTTTAAATGCAATCTTTCCTTTGTGTGAGCCCTTCCTCCCAGTACTCTCATCCATCTTGTGCACTACATGAGCACCTTTTATGTTCTGTAAAACCTCTCTTTGCAATCCTTTCTTACTGACTCATTATTGTCTCTTCAAAATGTCTCTATTTTCATAACTTTCACAACTTTCAGAATCTCTCCGAACTTGCTATATTATTTATTACTTTTTGAGGTAATAGCCATGAAAAGAGAAACACAGAAAACAATTCCAGCTTAGTCCTCTGGTCCTTGGAAGGCCTGTTTTCTCCAGTTTTCCAGCCTTTGATACCTGATGGCATTGTTAGAATCATAGAATGGTTTAGGTTGGAAGGGACCTTGAAGATCATCAAGTTCCACCCCCCCTGCCATGGGCAGGGACACCTCCCACTAGACCAGGTTGTTCAAAGCCCCATCCAGCCTGGCCTTGAACACCTCCAGGGATGGGGCATCCACAACTTCTCTGGGCAGCCTGTTACAGTGTTTCACCACCCCCATAGTGAAGAATTTCTTCCCAGTATCTAATCTAAATCTACCCTCTTCCAGTTTGCAGCCATTACCTCTCGTCCTATCACTACACGCCCTTGTAAAAAGTCCCTCTCCAGCCTTCTTGTAGGCACCCTTTAGATATTGGAAGGCCGCAATAACGTCTCCCCAGAGCCTTCTCTACTCCAGAAGATAAGAAGAACCTCTCCAGTTTTGTTAAAGGTTAAAAAAGTTTGTGATTATTTTATTGTCTATGTTCAATGGGCTTAAGTGCTTTTACTAGCTATCAAGTGTTTACACAGTTGGGTTGCATTTATAGAGGATATACACATCTTCTGTTCCACAAGATTACCCAGAGCCCTGCAAGTCTCCTCAAGGGGCTTTGAACTGGTTCCAGAGAACCCTTCTGTTGGCTTACACAGACACAGGCCAACACTTCTGCTGCCCCATAGCTCCCCAACCCACACTAGTGAACAGATGCGCCCCACTGCGAACAGGCAGAGGTGGGGGTCCCCTTCTACTGGGGTGACGAGACCCTTTCCTCAGGGCCACCTGAGAGAGCAGACTCCTGGGCCAACTGTTTTAAGAGGCCACTGTGGTACGGGCGACTCAACAGCAGACCATAGCTTCACCACGGCCTGTGCGACCCTCTCAGAGCAAGGCACGGGGCAGTGTCGCGCCACATGCCCGCCCCTTCCCTGCGAAGGCAGCAGG